ATTCTCTGCTGATTCTCAAGGGGTAAGAACCATTAGCACGGGGAAAAATTGCATGCAGTAACTTCTTAAATTACTACAACAAGATCCACCATAGCTACCTCAAAACCCCCTCTAAGGGTCCAAATACAACATGCAGAACCACTGAAATCTCTGCTCAGGTGATGATTATCAAGACTATGCTGAATCCAATTTGGATTTCCCATTTGGATACTTAATGCAGCCCAAAATCCTAACAGTTCTCCTTAACTGTGTCTTACTTTATGACTTGGAGTCTCTGCAGAATTCTTAAACTTGGTATTTTTTGGTCTAATATATAGGCCAGTGCCTGGCTAGCACACACAAAAGAGAGCTGAAGATTTACACACAAATGTGTTTCCCAGCAGTGAGCACACTCTCCTGTGATGTGGGAAGCAATATTAATTGAAGTGAGATCTTGCAGCCTGACTCTACCACATCCCAGGGAAATGCCCTAGCCCTTGGGCATTGAGTTAATCTCTCATTAGCCATCCCTCTGGTCTCTTGAATAAATTATTTATGAAAAGCAGAAAAACTTCAATAGGAAAAAGTGAAAAGAGATTTACCATGGAGCTGCTGGTAAAAAAAGCCAATTCTTCAGAAGGTGATATATGTTTAAAAAGAAAAAAAAAAAAAAAAAAGAAAGGCCAATTTAGATAACAAATCAATTTGCACTCTGGGGCAAGTACACAGTAAAGCTAGCCAGATGCGATCCTACATGGAGGAAAAATGAATTCTCGCAGTACCAAGCAGAACAAAAATACATATATAGGGTTTCTCCTGACAAAATGAAGAGAATATTCCTCAGGTTGAAGTACCTCATCCATGTCTCAATCCCAGCTACCTCACCTTAAAGAACATGGCTTATTTGACTGAGAGCCCCACCTGGAGCAGGGCTGACAGCTGAAAATCCTAACTAGAAAGTGAATTCCCTTTTGAGGTACTGTCAGATGCCTATTTTAAGGAACACAGTTTTAATCTGTACCTTGCCCCCCTACACTGGCCCTAACCAAATCTGACAACAGTTTGCTGAATTCCACAGCTCCTTGGCTGCACTTCCATTTCTAGCTTTACACTATACAAAAGCAGAACAAATAATTTCAGTGACTAGTACACTGACTTGTCTGACAAGTCTATTCCCCATAGCTTGGATGCCCAACACCAAGCTGCACAGTGCCTCTGCCTGCAGGGTTCAAAACCTAGAATTCCTTCAGAAGGCTGTACACCCACTTTTATGCTCCACAGGAAAAATTCAGAGCTCATCACTTTTATTCAAAATGCCAGTGAGCAGAGGAAGAGGACGATGAAAGACCTCACATGAAAACATCTTATGACGCTCTATGGGAAGGGCAGATCCACTGTGGGCATAAGTTGCTGTTAACTTCAGGAACTGCCATGACTTGCAACAACCCTCACTAGTGCTATGTAGCCAGAAACTGACATTTTTTCTCATGATCTTTTGGAAGAGTATTTCTATATGTAACCAAACACAATCCAAAGGATGACTCAAGCTCTTACAACACAAGGGAACTTTGGACTCAAGCACAAACCTACAAGGACACTGCTGGAATTTCTCTAACATGATAGTAACTGCCTGACTTGATTCTGTGTACATACAATACTATTCTTACGTGTGTTTGAACAATCATATACTCAAGGAAAGCTGGCCACAACACTAATCCAATCCTTGGGCCTGCAACTGTAAATATGTAAAGTGCCTCTGAGGGCAGGCAGATGATCACCTGAGTCTGTGACTCCTCCCTTTTTCTGTGACCGTCTTCTTCAGATGTGTAACCTGTGTTGGTTTACAAAAATATTTACTGAGCATTTTGTTTAGATTTCAGCCCCCAAATGAATCCCTTTCTGATGCCTTGCAGATTTCGAGTGGTTTGTAAACCTGCTAGAACAACAGTGGTTTACAACTCAATGGGGTGAAGGTTGAATGGATAAAATCAAACCAACAGAATAAACTGTGATATAAATCACCTATCTAAATTTATCTCAATTTATGTCTAACTGCTGAAGACTTAACTGTCTTAGCTCTAGCAATGGGATCCAAATTATCTCCACATAAGTAGCATAGTTTTGACATGAACTAAATCAATGCTGTAACTTAAGCACTCGTGAATATTTAAAAATAATCACTTGTTGTATGAAAAAATTCTTTCAGTTTCTTATTTGTAGAGAAAAGCAGTAACTGTGAAAAACTAAATGAATGAAAAAACCTCTTACTGTATATTCGACCTTGGACAGAGGATTTATGTTAAAATATCAATGCCTACTTTAGGAGCATACCTGTTTGAAAAGAGATTTCAAATTCTCAGTCTTTAAGGCCCAGATTATCCTTCATTAATATTACATGAACACACAAAAAATGCATCAAGGAATCTTCTTTGGAGTACAGTGCATGTAAGGATGTGGGGGACATGTTACAACTTCACAAAAAGTACCTGTAAGACCACCCCAAGCCTTCCAGTTACAGCATGATGCCCCATATTGCATTGTTAAGTGTCCAAACTAGCTTCAGTTTTCACAGTGCGACAAATGTTTTGCAGTAATAAACAAAGTGTTTATATTTTCCGCATTTAGATTCTTCTCTTATTTAGAAAGACCTTTTTTTTAATTAGATTTGGGTTAAGTTCAGCAAGCAAGCTCAGGGAATTCATGGAAGGTGGAAACTAATATTACTATAAGATATAGCACCACTTAGTTAGTGGGAAAAAGGAAAGTTTCTTTTCTTTTTCCAGCTAGTGAATTAAAAAATGTTGCACAAGGAGAAGGCCTACTCAGCATAAAACCATTAAGATCAAGGCGTAGATTTTGGAAATAACTGTCAGCTTTAGAGGAGCGGTGGAATTTTCAAAAAAAGCAGATCAGGCATCTAACTCTCTTAGATTTTAGACACTTGACTGTTTAATGGGGTTTTCAGCAGACCTAAATGCTTTTGAAACAATTAGTCAAATAATTGAAAATATTTAGTATTTCCTCTGGTTAGCAAAGTCAGTTTTTAAATGCAAAATGTGTTTTTAATAAACATAGGGGCCTGTCTCTCAGGTCAGGTGCAGACAGTCATGCTCACATTGAGCTTATGCTCTCTCAGTAGGTTGAACCCAAGCCAGACTCTGTACAGATGCCATAGAAACTACAGTTTCAAGTTCATTTTAAGACAGTGCTGCGGCCAAAAGAAACAATCCCTGCCCTCAACAGGCCCCAAACACTCATCCCTAACCACCACATTACCACCTCCCCTCTGCCAGCATAATGAACTAAATCACTGATCTTGTTTAGGTTAAAACTAACTTCCTTTTTCTTGGCCAGATTAGGTTTGATCCCGGTCCAGCTCACTCTGTTGCTGCACAGACACTTGTGCAAGGAGAGGAAGTAGCAAGAAGGGCAAGTCTACTTCATTTGGTGGCAATGCTGGTCTCTGTCAAATCACAGCACATGACCAAACACATCCTTATTTCTTCTTTACAATACTCATCACATTTAAGGTACATCTATTCAATTATATGTAATTTTGTAATTCTGTTTTGTACATTTTAATTAAATACCATTTTTCACGTAAACAGAGCATGACTCAGAAACGAAAATGAAATTAAGTAGTAAAACCTGTCACTTGTAAACTAAGCCAGCAAAAATTCAGAACATGAAAGAATGTTCTTCAGGTTTATTTTTAATGTATAAAAAGAAACAATTAATTCATTGTAAAGCTCTCAGCTGTTCACAAATGATTTTACTTATTCCAACTCAGGAGAACTGTCTTTGTGAAAATAATATTCAAAAAGTATTTTAAAAAGATAAAAAAATCAGTTCATCTGCTTTGGTGCAACCTCTTTGAACCCTTGCTTTTCCTCTTTTGCACCTTCTCTCACTGTTGGGACTTAAACACACCTCCTCCACACACATTCCTGTCCTGCCTTTCCAACTGAGGCGTCCAGAAGCGAAGCAAAGAAAGAATAAGAGATGTGTTCTGCAGCATGTATTTCTAGGGCTGTCCAAATTTTCATGTGTTTCCCTTTCCACCCCTCTGCCTGGGTAAAAGCTCATCCTGGACCAGCCAGCCAGAGGGACAACTGGTTTTGTGCAGATCCAAGGAAAGTGTTCAAGGAACATGCAGCACTTTGTGCTCTGAGAAGTGACCTTTCTATCACACCCTGCACTTCTGGCACTGTTGGAGATACCAGTTCTCTGTGATCCTGTGTGAGGTGACTCAAGCTGATATAAACATGATAAAAGGACAGGATTTCCTCTCCCGCTTCCCAACTGCGGGTGCTGAGGCTGGGCTGGTAAGAGCAGTGGAGTAATTCACAGAATCACAGAATTGTTAGCACTGGACAGGACCTCTGGAGACAGAGGAACACAGGAACCACAGGAACACATGTAGGTGGGTTTGGAATGTCTCCAGAGAGGGAGAATCCATGACCTCCCTGGGCACGCTGTTCCACTGCTCTGACACCCTGAACGCAAAGTCCTTCCTCGTGTTGAGTTGGAACTTCTTTTTAGTTTATGGCCATTGCTCCTCGTCCTGGGTACCACCAATAAGAGTCCTGGCACCATCATTTCGGCACCTGCCTTTGAGATATTTATATGGATTAATGAGATCCCCTCTCAGTCTTCTCTAGACCGAACAGGCCCAGCTCCCCCAGTCTCTCCTTATGAGAGATGCTGCAGACCCTTATTTGTGGATGTAAGCAAAGAGCTGGCCAGCAACGGGCTCAGGATGGGAACTATCCACACCAAGGCAAGGCCCAAGGCGTGAGGTGAACCACACAACCATCAGGGGTGAAGGCCACAGCGCCAGCCCCGGGCGGGCAGTGGGCACAGGGGGCCCCGCACGGCAGCGACACCGCGGTCTCTCGGGGTGCCCACCTCCAGCCCCACCTCGGGGCGGGCCGGGGGGGTGCCGGGGGCAGCGCGGCCGCCCGCGGGGCGCTGCGGGCGGAGCGGGGCGGGCGGCGCCATGAGGCGACACCGCCGCCGCCCCAAAATGGCGCAGGCGGGGGGTGACGGGCACCGGCGGGGCGGGGGGCGGTGGGAGCAGGCGGCGCCACTCACCTGCCGGTAAGAGAGGCGGAAAGGCCGCAGGTACAGAGAGGAGGTGCAGGGCTGGAGCACCAGCTCCTCGATGGCCTCCATCCCTGCCGGGGGAGGAGAGGGAGGAGGAGGAGGAGGAGGAAGGGGAGGAAGGGGGGAGGCGCGCGCAGCCGCCGGCGGCCGGGCAGGGCTGGGCCGGGAGCGGCCCCGGTGCGCCGATGGGACTGTCCTGCCCTGTGGCAGAGCTGGGATCAGTGAATGCTGCGTTTCACCCCCAAAACGGGGACACAGGAGCCCCGTCGCCTTTATTCACAGAGCCACAGAATCGTCAAGGCTGGAAGAAACTGCTGTGATCAAGTCCAAGCGTCAGTCGAGCCCTGCCCCTGTAACCCCTAAAGCACCAAACCACATCACGCAGCGCCAGGTCCAGACGCCTCTTAAACACCTCCAGTGATGGTGAGGCCACCATCTCCCTGGACAACCTATTCCAGTGCCTGACCACCCGAACAGTGAACAGGTTTTTTTCTAATATGTAATCTAAACGTCCCCGGTGTCAGCTTAAGCCCATTTTCTCTCGTCCGTTCACTGCAGGCACGGCAGAAGAGACCGGCCCCCTCCGCGCTGCAAGTGCCTTCAAGTGGTTGCATTACTCTGCAGAAACACCGGTTTGCGATGCGGTTCGCTCAGAAGTTTGGCACATGTTCTCGGGGTCAGTTATTTCCACACGTTGCACCAGAATTGATGGGGTGCTCCTGAACTGAACTGAAACCAGCCTCCCAAGCCTGGATGCCACCTGGGTCCTCCCTTTTTATCACAAGTTATCCCGATCCTGATTATACATCAGGCTTTGCAGGTTGAGCACCTTGCTGTTAAAAGCACAGTCACTTATGCCGGCCTGTGTGGTGCTTCCGTGTCAGAACGGGGGTTGTACGAGTGGTGTGGAAAATGCAGGTGTGAATTCATTGGTAACCTGCACCGCATCACTCGGTGCTTCTCCAGCTTTCCCTTTCAGAGCCAGTACCCAGTCATGGCCACGCACCCAGTCCGTGGCAGAAGAATAAAAACAGCTCAGTTAAATTCTTTTGTCTTTTTTCAACCAAGTTGCAGAATAATTATCCTCTCTCTCTCTCTCTTACTTCATTTTTGTCTTAAATAAATCACTATTAGATTTAGCAGTTTTCTGATTTTTATAGGAGTTTGATCCCTGTTATGCAACATTAGGTTAGATTACCCTTGTTTTAATGCTTCTAGTAGTGATTTTGTAGGTTCATGAAGAACAGAGCTCACTAATTGTAGTGGTCATTATCTCTGATTTGTGGTCACTTTCCATGCAGATGTTCCTGTGTACAGCTATTTTGGTTGCTATATAAATCAAATTATTTTGTCAATGTATTGACTCTGCTAAAACTAATCTAAAATTTCTTGCATCTGTTTCTTTTTCTGTCCTCTAATGTACTTCCACTTCATCACTAAGAAAGTTTATTATTTAGTCCTGTGGTAGTAAGAATCCCAGCAGTCTGGCTAAAAGGAACAGACCAAGCAATTACAAAACTCACTAAGAAGTAAATGAGGCAGCACTTACGTTGCAAAATGCTTACCATCACTTCTGATAACTCAAGTGGCAAAAAAATGTTTGGTGGGGCAGAAAAGTGTGGTTTTAAAAGTATGTTTGCAAAGCTATCATAAAAAGTAGGCAAGGAAATGTGTTTTATTAGCTGACTTTGAAAATATTTGCGTAACTCTGCATCACTGTATATGCCCATATATTTCTGCTTTTTTCAGAATGATCTCGAGGTCATTCAGAGCTCCTGGGAACTTAAGCTATATTTTTCTAGTAAGTTATTTCAGTCTTCTAAGTCCAATTTAAGTATAAACACAGTTTCCATGCACAGCAGGTTTACAGTATCTCTGTTTGCTTATGTTAAAAGTTACCGGCTACCCAGGTCGGTTCAGCCAGTCAGATTGCCCTCTTCAATAAACATTCTGACACCGCTTTCAGGTTTTGAGTGTGTGTGTGTTTTGGGGAACATGTCATACTGTGTGATGGATTGCTTATTCCATTCCTAGCCTTAGGTGGGAAGCTTTTGGGGTTGTGATGTGTCACAGACCCTGATCTCGTTAATGTACCTGGAACAGTTGAGTGCATTGTCATGGCAAAACACATTTTGGGGTGCTCTGGTGTTGCAATGTAGGCTTGGTGATGGAAAATCTTCTTTGTGAATATGCCAGCTGAACTAAGGGTTTAACAGGCTGAGACCGAGGAGCTGAGCTGCCTTAGTGTTCCCATTTTACAGGTGAAAATCTGAGTGAGAAAATAAATAGGAAAAATATGTCCTGCATAGTGGGACTAGCATTCACCCTCTGGACATGAATTTTATTACAGTTCTTTATGAAGGCCTAGCTAACCTGTGCAGCAAGTGACTTTGCATTTGGTAGTCCAAGAACAATCCCAAGAAGGAAATTCCACTAATTCTCACTTATTTAGATGGATAATAACGAAGGGGAAAAACTTCTGGATGGGTGAAATGCACTCCTGCTTTCCTGTTCCCTTTCACTGTTTTTGTGGTTTGCCTGTGCTGACTGGAATGGGGCTTCACGGCAGTAATTATGAGATGATACAATGCAGAGATGCTGCTCAGCAACTCAACTCAGGTTGGGAGAGCTCTGTTCCCAGGTAAAGTCCCACCAGGGGATGTGCCCACCATGCACACACCACTTTTTCTGGAGTAACCTGATTCCAAAGGAAATGGAGAGACCAGGCATATTTGCTCAGTCAGAGCACTGCCTCAGCTACTCTGTTGGGTGTTACGTGACATCCCTGTGTGTCTGCTCCTTTTCAAAGTAGCAGTACTAGTGGTGGTGTTCCCCCAGAAACTTGGGAAGACAGGCATCCATAATTCCAGTGTCCAAGGACTCTGTTCATGTCTGTTAGTTTCAATGAGATGGTTATGATACTTAAGTTCAAGCCCACATTTAACTGCTTGCAAAGTCTCTTGGGTTCGATTAGCACCACTCCATTACGTATCATGTACATTTCTATGATACTGTCCCTAAATCATCAGTTCCCAAACTTCTTACATCCTGGACTACTCTTGGCTGTCACAATTTCTTTGCAGAGTGCTATCCAGGTTTACCATTGCACTCCTGACTGAAATAGCTACTGCTGATATCCATCCACAAACCAACTGCCTCATGCCATCACATCTTCCTTGCTAAGTGATACTGTTAATTTGACTCCCAGAAACCAGGAACGTGTCAGAATGACAAGTTGAATTTCATTACATTAAATATGTTCCTTTATCCCCCTTAACAGTGGCTTCTGTATTGTATGTTGTTTTCTTGCCTTTTAAAATAACACACATAAGGATGTGAACACTGCTGTGAGTGGTTTCCTCATGAGTTCTTTAGTTTCCTGGTGCTGCTGGTCTCCTGGTGTAAAATACTAAAATCTGGATGTTTCACCCACACAGGCTCTAAAGGCTCTGAGAACTGTTTGTGTAACAGTGTGATAAACAACCTAATAAAGAAAGCAAAAACCTGAGCAGAAGTTTGTTTCTTTCCTGGAAAGGAAGATCAGCGGAGTACGTCAGCAAGCAGAGAGAGAAAAATGGGAAGTGTCCTGTCTGGAGCTGAAGAGTCTTAAGGGAAGATTCACAGGGATTTCTTACAAAAAAAGAAATGTTAACATTAGCATTAAAAAGGAGTTCTTTCTGCAGGGTAAGGTTCTTTGTTTAACAGCCTTCTCTTCAAAGCAGTGTTTGCCCTGTGTTACTTCGTGAGTTACTTTTATTACTAGTAAAGTACCCAAACATTTTCTTTTACCTTGCTCTTTTTAAAAAATCCCCTTGAGCTTGAAGTTTCCGCTGTCACAGTCTTTCCCTTCCTCTTGCAGTCACACAGTCCTTGGGCATACACTCTGCAGAGGGTCAGGTTGCATCCTCATTAGCAGTTTGTTTTATTGCTGTTTGCTTTGGGACACAACCGGGAATGTTTCCGTCGGGAGCCCGGTGCTACTGCCCTTCTGCTCGTGGTGGCTCCAGGAGCCAAGCACGCCCTCCCACCTCCGCCTGCATGCAGGTTTGCCGTGGGTGGACACCCAGGAATGTCCCTTGCAGTACTTCCCTCTTCCCGCTGGAGCTTAGCGAGGTGCCTGAGCTGTTGAGTTCATTCATGCACAGTTAGGCAGCACATTTTCTACAGCGATTTTTGTGTGTGAGAGTGTCTGCATGTGCTCTTAATCTCCATCAATCCCTGCCCAGTCACTTTGCTCTTTGACGTGCCATGGCTTATGAACAAAGAGTCATCAGGTCCTGAGCGTTTCGTATCTCCAGAGGACTCCTCGAGATACTGCAGAGTATCATTACTTTCTTACATCTTTTGACAGCTGTGAGTAGTTACAGTAGTAGTAACAGTAGTTACTAAGATACTACAAATATGGAAGCCTCAGGAACTAGAGGCACACTGACTTGCAATTTTCAGCTTTCATTTTTAAAAAGCAATTTCTAACCCTCATGGCTGCAGGAATAGCAAAAAAAAAAAAAAGCCAGGAAATGAAACAATGGCAAACCTGTGGTTTGTGAGCTGTTAAGCACAGGTCCTGTGCCAAGGTGATGCCACATATTTGGTAGAAAGGCTTTGCTGTTGGGGTGACAGAAAACCTGAATCCTCAGCTCTGGGCAGCAGAGGCTGCTGAAGCCAAGGGGCACTGGCTGACACAGGATCCAGCTATGTGCCCAATTCAGCCTGTCAAGCAGCAGATGGCTTGGGATGCCAGCAGAGCCGTTTTCCTCTGCCTGGAAGCTGCTTCCAGAACTTCCTCATCAGCTCCCATGTGTAGATTTTTAAGGTCACATAAGGTGTCAGGAAGGTTGGACACCTTTGCTGTACAGTCTTAGAGAGAAAGGTGGGTGAAAGTGTCCAAAATTCAGTATATTTTGTAAACTCATGTTGGAAATCCTTACGGTTGACAGCATGAAATCTTATCCTCTTCATGTGGGTCATCCTTGCATTGCCACAGAGATGTTAGTTTTGAGGGCCTTTCTTGGGATCAGATGCATGTTCTTTCCATAATCAAGTGGCTGTTGTGAAGTTTGCCTTCTAAGGTTTATCCCTTAGGCTCCTGTGGAAAAGCAAGCCTGAAGCTGCCAATATCTAACTTTTAATTATTATTCAGTTCTGGGGCATAACCACCCTGGTTACATTCATGAAAGTCAGGAATCATGCTTATGCAATTCTTTTGGCGTTGTAAATAAAGCCCTAGAGAAATTTGTTTTGATTTTAGTAGTAACTTTTCTGAGAGACGCCCTTTTTTTTTTTAAATAAATTATTTACATTTCAATTACCAAATATAAAGTTAGAGCTCTGCACTGCAGCACATAACATTATGTTGCAGCAATTTTATTCACCATCAGTTGGTCCAGAGCTGCTTTAATCCCACGAATAGCCTCAATCTGAAGAAGTTGGAGCAATTATTCATGTATGGATTTGCAGAACTGGGTTTGTAAGGACTGACAGCAGGAGCAAGACAGGCATGGTGTGTTTTATCACTGATGTACACCACAGTGAGTTAGAGAAATATTTCGGTTTATTTCTCTTAGATGTTTTCATTAGCTCCTCCTTGTTTTCAGGAACCCAAAGTGGGTCTCCCTTAATGAGAGCAACCATCTTGGTCTTTACTTTGTGAAGTTAAGTACTGTCTCCTGGCTGTGGTAGGAAACTCACCTGTGTCTTGTAGAGTAGTGTGATTTCCCAGAAGAACTGAAATGTATCCATCTGCCTTGTGAAATGAAGGTCTGATAAAAGGCTCTTTTTTTAGTGCATATCATCATTAAAAGCCTTGAACTAAATATGGTAAGAAAAAAAAGTTTTAAACATATTCAGTATAAATATAGATATGCATATCATGACATGTAAAATTGATCTATCTAAAAATAGTGGAGGGAAAAAGCTCTTCAACATAAATATGCAACTAATATGTCAAATAGTCCTTCAGATATTCATAATGTAATATGACAAGTTGCAATATGGTATAAAATAGAGGGAGGTGGGTGAGAACTTGGGAAGTCAATTCTCATTTCTAGCTTTTCATCTGGGGGAAGAACAAACACACAGCCTGTGAAAAAAATAAGAAACAATATGCATGCAAAATTTAGATACTTTTTTATTATTTTAATTACTATCCACCAAATGTTGCCTACAGCTAGCAGAGTGAAAATGATTAGAGGGAAGGCTTTGATTTTTCAATGAAGTTTCCTCTAATGAGGGAAGAAAGAAAATGATAACACCGTGTTGTTTGTATTACAGAACCATGTACAACTAATATCTGGATCTCATTATGCTGAAAAGTGTTCAAATACAGGTAGAAAAATGGTGTCTTTCACAAAAAAAGCACAGCAAACTAATTCATACAAAAGAACAAACAAGATGAACGTACAGTAATAAGGAACAGCTGAAGGAGAGGAAAAGATCAAGGAGAATCTTCTTTTGTTTGCCACATATGTATGCAATAGAGCTGGAAGGAGAAAAGTATTTTGATTTCTCAGGGAACCTTGATGTTCCAATAGTTTGAAATTGCCTGTAAAAGGGACTGGAGCCCGAGCTGTTGGATGCTTGAATGTTGGCCATGTCTCTAGCTGTGACCCTGGTATCTCTGAGCTCCTCAGTCACCACGATGCTGTGCTGTGCCTGGTAGCCTGCCCTGGACTGCAGGCATCATAAGCCCAAGGGTCCTTAATCTTCAGGCAGTTTTGTTGAAGCTGTGGGAACTGGAAGCCCTGGTCCTCAGGAGAGTACCAGCTGGGCTGCTCAGAAGCTGGGGCTGGCATAGCTCCAGTGGAAGCTTGCCTGTTTTCCGAAGGAATTTAATTGAATACTTGTCTGGATGAAATCTTTCTGTTTGGTAAATTGAGACATTCCAAAGGAAAAGTATAGTCAGAGGGGTTTTATTCCACCAGATGTAGGGAGCAGGTATCTGGCTTCTATTTTGATATATTTAAATA